GTCATTTTTGATTTTTGCCGCGCGCACCTTTAGGCTCATGCAGACGCGTCGAGTTTAAACAAGGCTTTACGCTTTAACCAGTTCAGTACTGTCCACAGTAACGGCTCATATCCAGCTAAACGTTTACTAGCCTGTTAAAAAGACTATATATAGCTGCATAGTTTCATGTGGTTCTCCCTCACTGTATTATGGGTTTGCTATGAGGGATAAATGTGCTGGTTACGCTTGTGAGACAATCAGGTGTTTACTATTATTATATTATATATTAAAAAAACCCTTGATCCTCACCTGACTATGGCTTTGTAAACTTATGGACTGTGGTACAGAAACAGTGACAATGTTACACACTCTTGTCTTACTCTGGCTATTCTCTGCTGTCTCCAGGCTATCTGCACATTTTTAAGTGCAAATTGAAAGACTTTTAAGACCTTTTCAAAACATCTAAATGTAAAAATTAAGACTATACCACGGCGAAAAAGATAAATATGACAAATTTAATCTGTTTTATGTAATAGTTTGGTTTTTTTTTTTTACTAACTTTAGCACATATATTGTGAACAGGTTAGACATGCAAACTGCTTAGATAAGCCAAGTCTTGTGTTTTGGAAGTGCAGTTCCCACTGTAGCAGCAAGGAGAAGACTGAGTAACTGGAGCAAGCACCTTCAAACATTGAAAAACGAAGCTGACACTATCTGAGAAATTAAAACTGTATAAGACGAGCCCTAATGTAGAGGGTGATCCTTAGCCACCCCCCTGCACCTCAAAAGTACATAACATAAAATATACACTGCAAATGGTAACAAAATCAGTATAAAAAAATTATTAAAGTGCCATTTAAAAAATGAGTCAAAATGAGTCAAGTTATAAATTAAATTTTTTTTTTTCTACACTAAGAATGAATTCATGACAAACATTCAGTAGCAAAGAGCTTGCAAATTATATAAAAACACTATGTCATTTTGGTTAGTAAAAGGCTAGGGGAGTGGCTTACCTTAATAATGGGATTGAATGTGATGAGCGGCAGTCTGGTGAGTTGCCCGTTATCTGACATGCAGGTCCAACTGTTTACTCTTTGTTGCGCTCTTCATGCTTTCGTCAAACATGATGACAAAGTTTCCCTGGTTAATCCGTGCCACAAGCTCCTTTTTCACATATGGAGCAATGCCAAATCGCGCAAGATACGCCGTGTTGTCTCTGCCACAACTAAACGCGCGTGCACACTCCGAGTCCGGGAACATCGCCTGGAAGACAGTGTAAATGTCATGGTTTGACATGTAAGATTGGTGGCAGCTAACTGTGCGTAAAACCCAGAGCACTTCTGCCGTTAACGTGGCTGTGTTAGAGAACGCACTGAAGGCAGAGTTAGACGCACTGGAGGTAACGTTAGACGCAATAAGCTTAGACATGTCTGAGCACTTGGTGATGATGCTGTAAATATTTGAATACTGATCGGCAATGTAGCGCTTGTGTTTCTTACTTTTCGCGTGGGAATCTAGGGCTGTTTGACCCATTGTCCCCAAATGTATATATATATTTTTTTGGCAGAGATCACATCGGGCCTCCCTCATGCCAGTTTTCTTCAACCAACCATTATATTTATCTTCCTCCAACCACTTGTCGTTAAACTGACATTTGCCCATAATGTCACTAATAGGGCTGCAACTAACGATAATCGATTAATCGAACGATTATTTTTTCGATTAATCGGATAAAAAATATTTAATTTTTTTGTTTATTATAACTAAATAAAACCCTTGTGGCGAGCAGGACGAGACCTCGATGATCTGATAATCACTCTTTTGTGTGTTAAACAATCTACTTAATACAGACAACTTCATTATAAAGAGAAACAACAAATAATATATATATGAAGAGTTCAGATGCAAAAGCCTCTAAATGCCATTTGAAATTTTCTCCTTTAATGATGATTTTTATCAAACTTGTATATTTAAGTTCAGTAATTTCTCTTAAATGGCAATGATAATTGCCTATTAATTGTTATTTAAGTGAAATTACTGAACTTAAATATACAAGTTTGATAAAAATCATCATTAAAGGAGAAAATTTCAAATGGCATTTAGAGGCTTTTGCATCTGAACTCTTCATATAACCTATGACAAAAATGCTATTGCAAACTAGATTTATGGATAACTCAGCAAAACTTAGCCTAGAAAATTCACAAGTGCACAATAATTGTATAAAATCTGAACATTTAGTGAAAAAAACATTCCTTACTGGGGAACAAATAAGAGACAATAAGTGTAGCAGTAAATTTGGTAAAACATTACACGTTGCTCTTTGTATTGTTGTAAAATAACAACGTAAAAATCAGATGCACAGCTGTTTAGTGAGGCAGCAACATAATAGATAGGACAGAACAATAAAGGCTATAAATAAGCTTTCATTGCACAAAAGTATTATGACATGATTATGATAGACTCCAAAACAGTGCTGAACACAGCTCTTATGCGCATCGCGAGCGCTGAATGATGCGCTTGAAGAAACACGGAGTCACAGGGCGGCCCGCAGCTCTTCGAGTCCACATTGGAAAGTTAGAAGAAGCACCAAGGAAAGAGAAAGACATATCAATGCATAGTGTATTATATAGTATCTATCTATGCAATAGTTTATTGAGCCTTTTGTTTTAACAGTTTTAAATTTCAGTTAGGCTACTGTGCGTGTGAAGATAGTATATCTATATAGTGCACTGACTCTACTCTAGTGTTGTGATCTAACAGACACTCAGTAGAAAGTGATTAAGTGCTGTATGTCTCGTGGGACTTCTCCTCAGTTCTCTTTGCCCTCAGGGTGGTCCTTACACAACCGGCTGCAGAGAGCATACCAGACACTGTTTCTGTTCGCTTCTGCAGTGTGCAATTAAGGCACTCCAACTCTTGGATTACTTCAGTGGCCATCATGAGCCCTAAAATTGTGGTACCTTTTCCAAACCTCTCCAGCAGCCCCCTTGCTGTGACGCCAGTGTTTGAGGCATCTGTCCTCTAAGCTGAGTAGCACAGACTCGTACTGACAGCACAGACCAGATTGCTGGAGTCCTGGTTGTCCATCTTGTTTGACACAAGGGTTGCAGCTTGCTTACTGTCCCAGATGCTGCAGCTGCAATATTCACAAATGTTGTTTTGTATTTGCCTGACATTTTGTACAGACAGCCAAGCTTGTGGACCCAATCCAGGGCATCAGATGTCAGTGGTGATGCTGTACAAGCAGCCTGGGTGACCAGATTTGCACAGTGGGCGGCCAAAAATAAAGAAATGCCAGAGAAATTTCCTATTTCCGAACTGCCGTCATTTTGTCCGGATGTCAATACACTAATGTATGCGGACGACACTGTAATGCCAAGACAGAACATCTGGCTGCTGCTAAACTATGGATCAAATCACCAATTGGCTAAATCGCTCGTGCCTTCAACTAAACATAGATAAAACTGTGGGAGTGTTTTTCATTAAGAGACACTAATGTAATACTGTTTCAAATATAATATCTGGTCAAAATATTAGTATTGTGCCCCAAGTTAACTATTTGGGCATTATTATTGATTCTAATCTTTCTTTTAAAACACATATGTGTGCAAAAGGGTCAAGTTTACTTTAGCTAATTTTAGACATATTAGAAATGCACTAAGTTTTCATGCTGCCAAATTATTTATGGATACCATGATTGTGTCACATCTAACATACTGTCTGACAAGTTGGGGTCAAATTAATAGTTCATCTCCAAAACCGTTATCAACTCTTTATAAAAAAAAACTCTCAAAGTTTTGGACCAGAAGCCTAATAGTTTCCATCATTGCATAATCCTTAAAAATCATAAACTGCTAGGTTGGGAAGATGTAATTAAATACAAAAACATCTGTTTGGTCCACAAAATTATGCATAATGCCACTCCAGCTCCTCTCAATTCATTTATAATCCAACGTCATAACAACAATCAGATTACCAGAAGCACCACACGAGGTGATCTCATTATCCCATTTAGGAAAAGCACATTTGGTCAATTGTCATTTTCTGTTAAAGCGATACAATGTTGGAATTCACTGCCCACTACAATCAAAGATATACATATGTATTCCAATTTTATTTTACATCTTAAAAACTGGCTGTCTGACAATTACAGCTGCACACACTAATTTGACAGATGTGTTGTGTATTTGATGTGACATGATCATGTTGTTGCCACTTGGTTTCTGCTGCCTGTCTCAATGTTATGTCCAGTATGTGCCTTAATGTGGCCTCTGTATGATTATTGTTTGTGTCGTGTTGTATTGTCTTACTGCATGAATTGTTATTGTGCCTTTGCAATCTGTGTCTGCTTGCTTATTTGTTTGAATTGACTGTCACATGTTTAGTTTGTCTGTCCCCTTTTTTATAAGTCCTGCTGTAAATATAATTGTAATGTATTTTATTGATGTATGTCCATTCACAACTGGCCGGGGACTACAGCTGGAAATTAGCCGTAGAGGCTAAAGCTGCTCTTTTTCTTTCAAAAAGGGACTGTCCACGTTATTAAAAAACGAATAAACTAAACTAAACTATTTGTTAAAAGAAAAAAATATTTTTTAATAAGAGTTTTCCTACATCTTGAAACTTTCAGGTTTATAAATGGGAGTCATCTTTGAAGGATGAACAAATATTGTTTTGGTCATCACATTAAAAATAACATTTATATATTATTTGAGTTTTGAAGTGCTGGAAAAGATGTGTGAAGTACTTGAAAGCATTTCACTATTTCAGCCAAACTGGTTCCAGTTAGTGTTACTATATTAAATCCATGGTGAATGTTGCTGGTCTGTGGACGAAAGTATTACTAGTTCATTCACGGCACAATGTTTCTCCTGGTTTCCACGTCAGTGTTGTTTGATCTAATAGAGATCTACAGTTAATAACGGAGAAATGCGAATGCTTCTCACTAGATTGGTGTTATTACCTCAGTGGCGAATTCAAATGTTTTCTTTACCGGATCTCTCAGCGCTGTGTAGTAACAGTGTCGCTTGATGGAGATCGGCTCGCGCTGCACAGATGTTGCTGGTCCGAACTGATAAACGATCCGTGATGCACATAATGAGTAGTGCAGATTCGTTCCGCTTTCATTACGCTTGCCATTTGATGTTGCGCAACGTTGTGTTGGCTGTGCCAGTGCGGATTTTGTAGGAAGGAAAAATGGTCCAAGGAATCGTTCGGTTTGTACGGGTTCAATACGAATACATGTACCGTTACACCCCGATCGCTCACCAGTTCATCCTGTAACAGATGTGATGGTCAAACCCTTTACATTCACAAGCTGTTCCCACAGTACAGAGATCAAGCGGCTTCCGTTGCATGACCTGCAGTTGAGCAGCATACAACGCAAGATGCAATAGAGCTTACATTTAAGACTCGCATGTTTTTTATAAGTTAAGGTTTAAGAAAAAGTTTGACTTGATGAAATTCAGTATTGGTTTAGTTGGACTCGATTGGTTAAAGACTCAATTTTGACTCTACTTTCACACTAACTTGTAATCTTCAGTTTGAGTCCACCTTAGTAGAGGATGAGATGTTTGAATGTGATTGTTCAGCCGAAGCTGTATCTGTCCGTCATCGAGGATGTGATGGAGAGTCTCCGAGAGTTATTCTGTGATGAAGGAGTGGATGAAGGAGTGCTGGACAACCTCAGACAGGTCAGTGTCTCACAGCAAACACCACAGGAATAAGATGCATTAAACAAACTTGCCAGTTGAACTGTTTTCTGACGGTGATTATCATCACTGTGCACAGAGATAGAGGGGTGTGTGTGTGTGTGTGTGTGTATGTGTGTTTTTCAGCTCTGGGAGTCGAAGGTCGTTCAGTCTAAAGCTGTGGAGGGTTTCAGTAAAGACAACAATCCATCCAACTTTGTTCTGCAGCTGCCAGCAAACTTCACGCAGACTCTCCATAAACCCACCGGTCGGTCCTGGTGTGAAGTCTGTGAAAGTCTTGTTTCGTAGAGGTGCAGTGAATGTGCGGTGCGTTTACACTGAACTCAAGCCCGTCCGAGTCTGGGACGCTTCAGTTCACAATCGTCCCAGCGCTACTCGTCGTAATGGCATTTTCACTTAAATTAGAGAGCTCTCCAATTCAACTCTTTCTGTTAAAAATTCCAGTTATGGCGCTCTACACTTGTATTCTTACTAGTAAATAATTGTATACATTAGATCCAAAACAGAAGTGCTTCACTTCAAAATAAAAGCCCTGTTAGAATGAATTAATTGTCATTGTGTTAGTCAGAATGACATCTTGGATATGTTTTGCTATTGAAAAATAAGATTTAATCACTAGATTCATTCACATATTTATACTGTAGAAAATATTAAAGAGCAAAGAAAGCACACCAGTAACTTGCTTCGGGTCAACACGTCTGATAGGATAAATATCATCTTATTTTGATGTTTATTATGCACTGTAATGAATGCAGAAGTTGAGCTATATATAGGCTAGTCGTCACTGACAAAATATGTTTTAAAATGAATTTTTTTGAAATCCAAAAAAACAAAAGTGTTGCGTTTATAGTTCTGTTCAGTGTGTGTATATATAAAATATTATATAACAAATTCTAAATTATGATGCTTTCCGTGGGGAATATGATTTCATGCCTGGAAATTTCACAGTTATTTTCTTTTCAAAGAAGAAAAAGGAAAGAACAAGATCACGCGCTTGATCAACATGCATTTTAAAATACACTAATATGTAGATGGTGCAGACTTTTTTTAATATTGTGTATAAACTACGAATTTGTTTTCTATGAGTATTTATTATTTAAGAAATAAAATGAAAAAAACATACTGTAGTCACTAGGTGTCTCTATAGACTTTTATATAAATATACAGGGTTGTGTAATCTTGAGTTGGTGAAACAAGATACGAGAAAACGTCTCAGGTTACGACTGTAACCATAGTTCCCTGAGATAGGGAACGAGACGATGCGTCAATGGGAACGCTTCCAGTGTGAATACGTCTAAAGCATCCCTGTCAACTAGTCCAATGGATGGAATAAACCAGGGCGGGTGACATCATGACCAGGAAGAGATAAAAGCGCATCCGGTGCAACCAGGATTAACTTTGAAAATCGCCGAAGCAAGACGATCACAGGGATGCAGGAAGTATGGCAGGGCGAAGCATCATCTTGTTCCCTATCTCAGGGAACTATGGTTACAGTCTAGACCTTCCCTTTCGGGAGAACTCGCGATGCGTCGATTACACTTTGGGAACGAGAAAACCCAAACCTTCAAGTGCCTGAGTGTCAGCCTGTTGTCAGTATCACACTAAGCACCTGAGGCCCTGGGGCAGCGTCCAGGTCCAGGCTATAAAACCTGACAAATATGAGCCATCCACATCACAAACGTCTCGGAGAGAAACTCCAGATAATAAGGCTTTAGAAGCCGCCATACTCCTAGTGGAATGAGGTCTGACCACCCCGGGCATGGCTCATCAGGGGACTGTCAAGCAAGAGAATTAGCCTCAACTATCCACTTACTCAATGTCTTCTTAGAGGCAGGAAGACCTTTCTTGGGTGATCCAAAGCAAACAAATAATTGGTCCGATTTGTCCGATGAACATAATGAACGCTTTTCCTGGTCTGACGACGTAAACGGAGGAGGACAGAAAGCACAATAGGCCACGGAATAATTGTAGGCACCTTAGGAACATATCCATGTTTAGGGTATAAGAATGCCTTGACCATCACCGGTGAAAACTCAAGGCAGGTGGGAGAAACTGAAAGGGCCTGAAGGTCTCCGACTCTTTTGAGGAACAAAATGGCTAGCAGAAAAATAATTCTTAAAAGTTAGAAAGTTCTCTGAGACTGAGTCTAAGGGCTCAAAGGGAGCCCCAGACAGGCCTTCTTGTGCTATCGCCTGACTCCAAGCCGGCACCATTGGGCGAGTTGCAGGACGCAGCCTCAAGGTGCCACGAAGGAAACGCTTGATCGGGGGTTTTGACCCAAAGATGTACCACCCACCAGAGCGTGGAAAGCCACAATAGCCACCACATAGCCTGATGCAAGGCGTTCTTGCAGAAACTCAAGTACTGTGTGGACCGAACAGTTAACCGAATCCCGCTAAAGCTGGTGACACCAAGAAGTAAAAAAAAAAATGTACCAAAAATGTTATTACGGCGAGTAACACTGGGAAGATTGTGAACTAAAACGGCCTGCCATTGTGCGTTAAATCATTTTTTTCAGTGCACAGCCAGTGCAACCAACATGTATACACAAATAATTACTGTTATGTAATGAAATTGAAATGAAATGACAGACACTCTAAATCCAGCATAAACTCCTGTTTAATGCTTATGACAAACGTCACTGCAATGCTCAGATCCGTCGTCAATCCCACAATCCTCCAGCGAGAGTGCTCAGCTCTCAACAGAAGGATCTGGAAACGCCCACTTCACAGCAGTGTAAACGCACGTCAGCTCGCCTGACCACCAGAGGGTTTTGTTGTTGATGACGGCTGTCCAGCTCTTTAGTTATTTTTTGTCTGTTTGCTTACCCGCCAGACTCAAGGCCAACGAAATGTTCATCCTAGCCGTTTTTTCCACATTAATACCTATTTTACCCAAAGTTTTTAACTCATTTTAATAGTGGCGATCCCATTGCAAACAACTGAAGCAATATCCTAGGCTCAGGAAAAGTGTAAAATGATTTCTGTGTGCAGTGCTTTGAGGCGTCAGAGCCGAGGGACGTTGGGATGCGACTGACCGCTTCATTGTGTTCTCAGTCTCCGATCACGAGCACTGCCCTGTCTCACCGCATGCTCTTACTCACACTTATGTCCACTTCATTTAGGACACTTTCACTTTTCTCTGGTCGTGTGCTTGATGTTTTTCTCTTTTCTCAGTCGTCATTCCAGCTGCTCAGAATGTGCAGAACTTCACCTCCAAAACAGTAAGTCAACAAACACTGTCCTCATCGCTTAAATATGTGGCCATTGCCAGAATACCAGTACATTTCTTTTTCCTTCATTTGATTTAAATCCACTTTCCTTGCTGTTTAATATAATAAGGTCGTCTGTGTTCATTAATCAGCATTGTAACGTCTTTATCTGTCCAATTATTCAATCTTAATATGTATCACACACAATAAAGTTCCCTTTATGAAACTGTTAATGTTGATCTAAGTTAAAGCTCTTTTGAAATTGTGAATGTGAATGAAAATGTGTTTTCCATGACTTTCAGAACAGCTGTGGTTCTGTTGCCACATTCTCTCTGCCACCTGGAATAACGTATCCGGTCCAGATTCCTGCTGGCGTCACACTGCAGACGGCCTCAGGTGAGACTCGACACCACACCCGACACTCAACACCGCGCTCAGCGCCCTCAACACCGCGCTCAGCGCCCTCAACACCGCGCTCAACACTCTCAACACCGCGCTCAACACTCTCAACACCGCGCTCAACATTCTCAACACCGCGCTCAACACTCTCAACACGCTCAAAACTCTCATCACCGCGCTCAACACTCCTCATCACCGCGCTCAGCGCCCTCAACACCCCGCGCTCAGCGCCCTCAACACCGCGCTCAGCGCCCTCAACACCGCGCTCAACACTCTCAACACCGCGCTCAGCGCCCTCAACACCGCGCTCAACACTCTCAACACCGCGCTCAGCGCCCTCAACACCGCGCTCAACACCTCAACACCGCGCTCAGCGCCCTCAACACCGCGCTCAACATTCTCAACACCGCGCTCAACACTCTCATCACCGCGCTCAACACTCTCAACACCGCGCTCAGCGCCCTCAACACCGCGCTCAACACTCTCAACACCGCGCTCAGCGCCCTCAACACCGCGCTCAACACTCTCAACACCGCGCTCAGCGCCCTCAACACCGCACTCAACACTCTCAACACCGCGCTCAGCGCCTCAACACCACGCTCAACACTTCTCAACACCGCGCTCAGCGCCCTCAACACCGCGCTCAACACTCTCAACACCGCGCTCAACACTCTCAACACCGCGCTCAACACTCTCACACCGCGCTCAGCGCCCTCAACACCGCGCTCACACTCTCACACCGCGCTCAGCGCCCTCAAACACCGCGCTCAACACTCTCAACACCGCGCTCAGCGCCCTCAACACCGCGCTCAACACTCTCAACAACCGCGCTCAGCGCCCTCACACCACGCTCAACACTCTCAACACCGCGCTCAGCGCCCTCAACACCGCGCTCAACACTCTCAACACCGCGCTCAGCGCCCTCAACACCGCGCTCAACATTCTCAACAGCGCGCTCAACACCTCTCATCACCGCGCTCAGCACTCTCACACCGCGCTCAGCGCCCTCAACACCGCGCTCAACATCTCAACACCGCGCTCAGCGCCCTCAACACCGCGCTCAACATCTCAACACCACGCTCAGCGCCCTCAACACCGCGCTCAACACCCTCAACACCACGCTCAGCGCCCTCAACACCGCGCTCAACACTCTCAACACCGCGCTCAGCGCCCTCAACACCGCGCTCAACACTCTCAACACCGCGCTCAGCGCCCTCAACACCGCGCTCAACACTCTCAACACCGCGCTCAGCGCCCTCAACACCGCGCTCAACACTCTCAACACCGCGCTCAGCGCCCTCAACACCGCGCTCAACACTCTCAACACCGCGCTCAGCGCCCTCAACACCGCGCTCAACACTCTCAACACCGCGCTCAGCGCCCTCAACACCGCGCTCAACACTCTCAACACCGCGCTCAGCGCCCTCAACACCGCGCTCAACACTCTCAACACCGCGCTCAGCGCCCTCAACACCGCGCTCAACACTCTCAACACCGCGCTCAGCGCCCTCAACACCGCGCTCAACACTCTCAACACCGCGCTCAACACTCTCAACACCGCGCTCAACACTCTCTCAACACCGCGCTCAGCACTCTCAACACCACGCTCAGCACTCTCAACACCGCGCTCAACACTCTCAACACCGCGCTCAACACTCTCAACACCGCGCTCAGCGCCCTCAACACCGCGCTCAACACTCTCAACACCGCGCTCAACACCCTCAACACCGCGCTCAACACTCTCAACACCGCGCTCAACACCCTCAACACCGCGCTCAACACTCTCAACACCGCGCTCAGCGCCCTCAACACCGCGCTCAACACTCTCACACCGCGCTCAACACTCTCAACACCGCACTCAACACTCTCAACACCGCGCTCAGCGCCCTCAACACCGCGCTCAACACTCTCAACACCACGCTCAACACTCTCAACACCGCGCTCAGCGCCCTCAACACCGCGCTCAACACTCTCAACACCGCGCTCAACACTCTCAACACCGCGCTCAGCGCCCTCAACACCGCGCTCAACACTCTCAACACCGCGCTCAACACTCTCAACACCGCGCTCAGCGCCCTCAACACCGCGCTCAACACTCTCAACACCGCGCTCAACACTCTCAACACCGCGCTCAGCGCCCTCAACACCGCGCTCAACACTCTCAACACCACGCTCAACACTCTCAACACCGCGCTCAGCGCCCTCAACACCGCGCTCAACACTCTCAACACCGCGCTCAACACTCTCAACACCGCGCTCAACGCCCTCAACACCGCGCTCAACACTCTCAACACCGCGCTCAACACTCTCAACACCGCGCTCAACACTCTCAACACCGCGCTCAACACTCTCAACACCGCGCTCAACACTCTCAACACCGCGCTCAACACTCTCAACACCGCGCTCAACACTCTCAACACCGCGCTCAACACTCTCAACACCGCGCTCAACACTCTCAACACCGCGCTCAACACTCTCAACACCGCGCTCAACACTCTCAACACCGCGCTCAACACTCTCAACACCGCGCTCAACACTCTCAACACCGCGCTCAGCGCCCTCAACACCGCGCTCAACACTCTCAACACCGCGCTCAGCACTCTCAACACCGCGCTCAACACTCTCAACACCGCGCTCAACACTCTCAACACCGCACTCAACACTCTCAACACCGCGCTCAACACTCTCAACACCGCGCTCAACACTCTCAACACCGCGCTCAACACTCTCAACACCGCGCTCAACACTCTCAACACCGCGCTCAACACTCTCAACACCGCGCTCAACACTCTCAACACCGCGCTCAACACTCTCAACACCGCGCTCAACACTCTCAACACCGCGCTCAACACTCTCAACACCGCGCTCAACACTCTCAACACCGCGCTCAACACTCTCAACACCGCGCTCAACACTCTCAACACCGCGCTCAACACTCTCAACACCGCGCTCAACACTCTCAACACCGCGCTCAACACTCTCAACACCGCGCTCAACACTCTCAACACCGCACTCAACACTCTCAACACCGCGCTCAACACTCTCAACACCGCGCTCAACACTCTCAACACCGCGCTCAACACTCTCAACACCGCGCTCAACACTCTCAACACCGCGCTCAACACTCTCAACACCGCGCTCAACACTCTCAACACCGCGCTCAACACTCTCAACACCGCGCTCAACACTCTCAACACCGCGCTCAACACTCTCAACACCGCGCTCAACACTCTCAACACCGCGCTCAACACTCTCAACACCGCGCTCAGCGCCCTCAACACCGCGCTCAACACTCTCAACACCGCGCTCAACACTCTCAACACCGCGCTCAACACTCTCAACACCGCGCTCAACACTCTCAACACCGCGCTCAACACTCTCAACACCGCGCTCAACACTCTCAACACCGCGCTCAACACTCTCAACACCGCGCTCAACACTCTCAACACCGCGCTCAACACTCTCAACACCGCGCTCAACACTCTCAACACCGCGCTCAACACTCTCAACACCGCGCTCAACACTCTCAACACCGCGCTCAACACTCTCAACACCGCGCTCAACACTCTCAACACCGCGCTCAACACTCTCAACACCGCGCTCAACACTCTCAACACCGCGCTCAACACTCTCAACACCGCGCTCAACACTCTCAACACCGCGCTCAACACTCTCAACACCGCGCTCAACACTCTCAACACCGCGCTCAACACTCTCAACACCGCGCTCAACACTCTCAACACCGCGCTCAACACTCTCAACACCGCGCTCAACACTCTCAACACCGCGCTCAACACTCTCAACACCGCGCTCAACACTCTCAACACCGCGCTCAACACTCTCAACACCGCGCTCAACACTCTCAACACCGCGCTCAACACTCTCAACACCGCGCTCAACACTCTCAACACCGCGCTCAACACTCTCAACACCGCGCTCAACACTCTCAACACCGCGCTCAACACTCTCAACACCGCGCTCAACACTCTCAACACCGCGCTCAACACTCTCAACACCGCGCTCAACACTCTCAACACCGCGCTCAACACTCTCAACACCGCGCTCAACACTCTCAACACCGCGCTCAACACTCTCAACACCGCGCTCAACACTCTCAACACCGCGCTCAACACTCTCAACACCGCGCTCAACACTCTCAACACCGCGCTCAACACTCTCAACACCGCGCTCAACACTCTCAACACCGCGCTCAACACTCTCAACACCGCGCTCAACACTCTCAACACCGCGCTCAACACTCTCAACACCGCGCTCAACACTCTCAACACCGCGCTCAACACTCTCAACACCGCGCTCAACACTCTCAACACCGCGCTCAACACTCTCAACACCGCGCTCAACACTCTCAACACCGCGCTCAACACTCTCAACACCGCGCTCAACACTCTCAACACCGCGCTCAACACTCTCAACACCGCGCTCAACACTCTCAACACCGCGCTCAACACTCTCAACACCGCGCTCAGCGCCCTCAACACCGCGCTCAACACTCTCAACACCGCGCTCAACACTCTCAACACCGCGCTCAACACTCTCAACACCGCGCTCAACACTCTCAACACCGCGCTCAACACTCTCAACACCGCGCTCAGCGCCCTCAACACCGCGCTCAACACTCTCAACACCGCGCTCAACACTCTCAACACCGCGCTCAACACTCTCAACACCGCGCTCAACACTCTCAACACCGCGCTCAGCACTCTCAACACCGCGCTCAACACTCTCAACACCGCGCTCAACACTCTCAACACCGCGCTCAACACTCTCAACACCGCGCTCAACACTCTCAACACCGCGCTCAACACTCTCAACACCGCGCTCAACACTCTCAACACCGCGCTCAACACTCTCAACACCGCGCTCAACACTCTCAACACCGCGCTCAACACTCTCAACACCGCGCTCAACACTCTCAACACCGCGCTCAACACTCTCAACACCGCGCTCAACACTCTCAACACCGCGCTCAACACTCT